TTTGTGCTTTTTCCACTTTGCTTTCTGGCACTATGTTCCTGGAATCAAATCTGAGTACAGTGGTACAATTTGGACATTAGATGCTTTCACTGAGCAAATTCTCTTAAAAACAGAGATGGAAATTTCAAAGCACGAAGCGTCTTTAGGTCTCCTAAATCTATAGAAAATATTAAGCAAAGTTCAACTGATGTTTTGACCTTAAGTTATACAGGGACAAAAAAAAAGAATAAAGAATGTCTGAACAGGAAGGAACTGAGAATTCTTCTAGCTTCACCATCCTTCCTGTTTTCTACTTCCTCCTCTACAGCCTATGACCACATCCCTATCAGCTGCCCCTACACTCACTGCTTGAACTGTCAGGGCAGCCCTGTTATCTCCTGGCTGTCCCTAAAATGAGGGTCTTCCCTGGGCCTTTAACTCTCATGTACCTATGTTTCTGTGTCACTTCAAGCTAGTTATCCTACTCCATTCAGCCTCAGGGTCCTCTCCCATAATATGAGTAATAGCCCCTGGATTGCTAAGCTGTTGTGTGGCTGAAATAACATAACCTGACATAGCAGCACTATTCACAATAGCCAAAGCATCCATCAACAGATAAATCCATAATCAAAATGAATATCTATGGTGTCACAAAAACTAGACAGCAGCATGTAAATCAATGAAGCTAGAATACTCCTTCACACCATACACAAAAATAAACTCAAAATGGATTAAAGACGTAAACATACGACAAGACACAATAAACCTCCTAGAAGAAAACATAGACAAAACATTATCTTACATACATCTCAGCAATGTTCTCCTAGGGCAGTCTACCCAAGCAATATAAATAAAAGCAAAAATAAACAAATGGGACCTAATGAAACTTACAAGCTTTTGCACAGCAAAGTAAACCATAAGCAACAAAATGACAACCTACAGAATGGGAGAAAATAGTTGCAAAAGATGAAACTGACAAAAGCTTGATCTCCAGAATATATAAACAGCTTATAAGACTTAATAAGAAAAAAACAAACAACTCAATCCAAAATGGGCAGAAGACCTAAACAAGCAATTCTCCAATGAAGACGTACAAATAACCAATAGGCACGTGAAAAAATGCTCAATATCACTAATTATCAGAGAAATGCAAATCAAGAGTACGAAGAGGTATCACCTCACACCAGTCAGAATGGCCATCATTCAAAAGTCCACAAAT